TGGTTTCAGTCATTATGCAATGTACTGTTTATAAGGTTGGGGAAACCTGCAGTCAGCTGAGACTGAAGAAGCCACTTGGATGAATGACTGAAAACGCTACGTCCAGATGAACAGAATGTGGAAATTACATTTTTTCCAATCTGTAATTATCTCAAAACTTTGGCAGTTAATTTAGTATATTTTGAGTTATTTCAGTTGTGGAAAACATTGTTTAACCTTGCTGAATCGTGGTGTAGCCGGTCTGGCCTTAAACTCTGATCGCCATTAATATATACCATATATATATGATATACCATAAGGCTAAGGCGAACTAAGTGAGAAAGTGATATTAATCAATACATAAAAATAAAAAAATCTGACACGACACCCTCCTGAATCTGAATTGGGTAAGCAGAGAAAAATGGATTTATTTCATGAATTCTTGTGTACATTTTATATAGACTAATGTATAAATCGTACAGGTCAGATCAATAATCGAACAATCATATCAAACTAAATGATCAGTGGAGCTGATCCTGGTGTCTTCTGTGTGTTTCTTGGCCTGATTATTCCCTGCAAAGGAAATAGAATAGAGTCACACAAACAAAGAAATAACATTTCAAATCTGCAGGAAGCAGATAATCTTAAACAAAGAGGACCCAAAGCAGGCACGTGGAACAGGGAAAGCAAAACTGGACACAATGCACATGAGACAAGGACTATCAAAATAAACCAGGAAACATGGCAAACGGGGAAACCAAGATCCAACACACATAAACCTGATGTGGGAAGAGAACAAACACATGGCATTACATGGCCGAGAGATACAGAGAGTGAGAGAGAGCAATTGATACATGAAGAGACATGATGGGCTGAGAGGCTGAGGTGATGCTGAAGTCAGAACACAGAGACAAAGAGGCGAGATGCTAAAACAAAGAGAGGACTGAGGGACAAAAAGAGATCACTTAAGGAAATTAAACCATCTACAGGCATCACACACACAAAAAAGACAGAAAATTCATAAGCACAAGGTAACTAAATTGTACCAATAGGGACTAGAAACATTAATCACTTAGTAACATCACAACATTGATAAGTGGACAAGACTCAAAGATTAAAAAAAAAAAACACTGGTTCAAAGACCGAGAACCATGACATTAACTAACAAACATGAACTCACTAACTAACCTGTGACTGTGAGCCACAACCTCTTATATCTCCAGGCCTCCTTGCTGTTGACCTGACAGCCGTATTTCCCACTGTCTCCCACTTTGGGGTCTTTCAGGGTCAGACTGAGGTCTCCAGTGGTCAGCAGGTCTTTCTTCATCT